GGGAGCGAGGGCCGGCTTTGTAATGCACGCCAGCCTCTCCGGCAGCCAGCACAGTGCTGCAGCTCCGCGATGGAGCTGCCCATGGCTCCTCCGCGCGCGGAGGGCCGTGAAGGCTTTTTCACATGCTCTCCTCTTTTCCTTATATACATATATAAATATATATACACTCATCCACAGTGAAAACGAGAGAGAATTTGTATTTGCGTGCTCTATGTATGTTAACTCGCACCGCTTCTAGCACGCACTCACTGCAGCTCTCGCAACTTATGCTGCGCACACATAGCACATGCATGTGCGCTCGCATGCCTGTGGGTGCACGCGCACTCAGGCTCGAGTAGTATAAGGCTAAAGCACTTTGTAAAAGTATCGCCCTATATGGTAGGAAAGAGGAGCAACTGCTCAGATCAGCACTTCCAGGAGCGTGCTGTTCCTGGCAGCACGAGCCTTCCAGATTTATAAGTTGCCACAAAACAGTCAAGATCTACTCGTGGAGAGCGTTTGCACATGAAGGAAAGAGAAACCCCGATCTCTGTTTCATTTTTGTTCTTCCTGGTCTGGTGTGCGGAGAAAAGGCCTGAGTGACTCCTTCCGGCGAAGAGGGGGAGGCAGGTACCCCCGCCCCCCTCCGTTTTTCAGTTTAGATAAATCTCTCGGAATAGGCTCAGGATGTAATTAATTTCCCAAATAACGCAACCTCCCACCCCCGCCTCCGCTTCGTCCCTGGCCACCATCAGACCTTGGCAGCTCTCCTCCAGTGCAGCTCTGAGAGGATGTGATGAAGGCATTGAACTTACCTCTTTTATACTAATACAAATAAGCACATATATATCTTCTATACAAGTATAAATAAACACATATATGTGCGTGTGGATTGCCTTTTTTTTTTTTTCCCTTCAGGATGGTTAGTCTAGAGAGACTGCCAAGAAAGCTATGGTTAATCGCACACACGCGAGCTCTGGCCTTTGCCTCCCGGGACCAGCAGGAGCTCCGGTCTCGGTCCTGCTGCTCCGGTCTCGGTCCCGATTCACCCCGCTCCCCGCCGAGCTTTCACCCCCGGCTCGCGGAAACCCGTGTGCGCAACCAATGACCCGTCTGTCCTGCGGGCAGCGCGCAGACGTTACGCGGGCAGAGGCGCCCCTGTGCGCGCGCGCTAGGCCGCTGCGCGGCCCCGGCCCGCACCTGCGCTCGCCAGCGCAGGATGCGGCCGGCGGCGAGCTGTTGATACAATTCTTTGTGTTCGGACCAAAAGTAAAAATAAAAAGGTCTTTTTTATTATTATTTATTTATTTCCCCCCCTCAATGTCTGCGATTGAACCTCAGCCCGTATTTAGCCAAATAAAGTCGCTTTTGTGCTTACGGTCGACTTCTTCATAAAATACCTCAAGTAATTTCAAATAGCTGAGATGGAGAAAAAAGCACCACATCGCAGTACGCCGAGGAATCAGCGTGCAGCTGACAGAAAGGAAAGATGGCAATACTGAAGAATTATGGGTTAGCAGGACAGTCTATTATTAATCAATTAAACGAGTAGCTAATAATAATAATAATAATAACACTTCGAGAAACCATTTCCACAGACTCGCGGGGAAATTGTCGTATTAAAACTACGGTCAAGTATAGTGTCTGAAATAATTCGAGCTTTCCTTTTTCTATATGACTTTTTATTCCTTTCCTCGTCTTCGGTGAAATCTACATACCAGTTTACCCCTGTCCCTGCACGCAGCAGAAGAGATCTGGCTACCAGACATCCTGGATTAATTCCTATCCAGAGCTATCAGCTGGCCTCTAGAAGAAGCAATCATTAAAAAGGCAGGTGAGGGGGAGGAGGTTAACACCAACAGGTATTTCTTGTCATTAACTCTCCACTTCCTGATAAGAGCATGATAAACAACTGGTAAACTCAGTGTAAGAGATTACAGAAAAGACGTTTACTTCCTTACTTGGTGATTAATGCGCATATATTAAATAAAAATAGAAACGCTAAAAACAAGATCTTTATATAAAACACGTTCATATTTAAGTAGTTCAGTGGGATAATCGATATCAGGCTATTACTTCTGAACGGTCAATTTCAGTGCTTCGCAGAGCGAGTTTTGAGTGTGTGAACTCTGTCTCTGAACGGAGCAACATCTGGAGAGCTGCGAATGCAAAATTAATTATAACATTATAAAGTCCTACAGGAATCTCTCTAAGTCAACCTGCGTGTCTTGCAAAATGTAGTATACTCCCTGCATTATTTGGGAAGCCCAGGCTGTTCTTTCCAGCAGGGTGTTGTAAGTGAATCTTTATCTACCAGAATTGATTGCTTTTATTTTTTCCTCTTTAATAATTAGTGGAACA